CCTTGGATAATGTACAACTACAGTGCTAACACCTGTAGAGAACTTCTTAAACATGTTTAAGAAATTTTAAAAAACAGCATGGAAATGCTACAGATAAATAATAGATTGGCCTAAGCAAATGATCTACAGGAGAGTGTGAACAGTGCAAAGCGCTGCACATTCCACTGAAATTTATCCTTAAGCCTGTAAATTAAAGTATTAATCGTTAATGGCTATCCTCAAGCAATTAAATTCTGCTTTTAGTTATGAGGCTGTGTTTACGTTTCAGTAGTTTGTAACTATGGCTCGACTAGCTTTCTCCCTGGCTAGTTCAGATGCCAGGATGGGAGGAGCTACAGAAGCAGAGAACTGAGTTTGGTCTGCCTTGGCAAAATTTATTCTCTGCTTATATATTAGTTGTCTTTAATTGAATTATTCACGGATTTTTTTTCCGTGTGCCTCTGAGCAGTTCATCGTCCAGCAGTCTGTAACTTGGCTACACCCCAACTTTCCTCCTACAGCCAAACGTTCTGTATCTGGGAAGCGGCACCTTTTATAAGCACTCTTGTCTGGGAACGGCAGGTCTTTACCTGAGAGAGGTTCCACTGAGCTTGCTGGGTTTGTTGCAATCCGTACTTATTTTGTGGCGTGACCATCTGCCCCACCATTCCACCTTGAGGTCCAACGACATTTTGAGGAAGTCCCATCGCACCAGTTTGTGTAGGACCAGTAAATCCATTGGGCATTCCCATCCCTACCATCACGCCTGCGCTCTGTCCCATGACTGGCACCGACTGTCCCATCATGTTTCCCATCATCCCAGTTGCTGCAGGCACAGGAACTCCCATGGCTGGGAAGCCTTGAAAGTGAGTTGACGGTTGTGTGGTAAATGGCAGAGAAGACGACCCCATGAACATACCTGTACCAGAGAAGGGAAGGTTTCAGCAAAAGTGTTTTGTGATCTCCTCCCCCCAGCCCCATACGTCAGAAGTGCACCAAGTTAATTTTAAACGATAACTTTGCCCAGTTGCACGTCAGTGCTGTTAATTTGGTTTCTGGTGAAAGTAAAAAATTGCTCATAAACTCTCAGAGGAAAAAGGCTCACCACCGGCGGCTAAGTGCCAAAAAAAAAAGAGTCAGGCAAATCCCTGCGGTGAACCAGAATCTCTTAATCGCTGTATTGGAGGTCTCTGTTTTCATACAAACACAGCTAAAATCAAGATGCGACAGCGCCGCACCGATCCTGCTGTTTGCACGGCGGAGGCTCGGACCGTAGGCCACGAATTAGGCAGCAGAAGCTGAATTCACGAATCTTTCAGTAAATTGTGTGCTTGCTAATTTGAACAGCTATAAATAAATGAAAAGCACATGCTATTTTTTTCTTTAGCTTCCGTATGACATTCCAGTCATTTTCTCATTTTTATAAATGGTAATTTTAAGTCTTCATCTGAATACAGGCAGCGGGGTACCCAACCTTAATGTCGTACTTGTAGGAGATAACTGTTCTAGGTAAAGCTTAGAACAGGACCACACAGAAACCTTTACACAATTATTTACCCGGAGCATTTTGCTGCTGCATGGTTCCTGTGCCGTACAGTGATAAGATGGAGTCTTTGGAGAGTTGTTTCTTTGCTGACTCTTCGGATTTTGTTGTTTGCTCAGTGAACAGATCAAGATCCCCGGACGCCGCAGACAAGGTGGCAGCTGCTGGTTTGGTGGAAGTGCTCTGGGAAATAAAGGTCAAGACAGGCTACTGCATGAAACCCGCAAAGGACGCCACCTTAAATATTTACTGCACAACCTCGCTCCTGAACCAAATAAAACCCAGTTCGTTTACAGAAATAATTAGAAAGTAGATGAGGATGTAAAGAGATGTGGTATGACCCAAGAGAAAAAAGCCGTACGTACGCTACGGAGAGAAGGCCCGGCGGAGGTTACAAAACACGCAAAACTAAAACCCCAGCCAGCTCCGGGGCGTACACATACAGATTCCTTGTTCCCGTTGCTCCTACATTTTTCATCAGTGAGAAGAATAAATCATGAGCTGTAGTTAGATTATGAAAAATAATTAGGAAATCAATAAGGAGATTACAATTCACATCTCATTAATCCTCTCATAGGCAGAACAGATTAGAGAAGAGCTAAAACAAAAGACTAAGTGCTTTGGAATATGCTACTACAATAAGATGAACAGTATTTCTGGAGAAAAGGCAAAAGTAAAATGTCACTTGATCTACTTAAAGTTAATAACATTGCTAAAATGCAGTGTTTATAATTGGCTTAGAGTTCTTCAAGCACATTTCATTTACTAAGGAAGCATAATTAGCTGAAACTTACTGTCGTCTACAACCGAAAACCTAAAATACAGGCAGGCTGTCAGGCTTTTTATCGCTCTTGCACTAAAATGTTTTCTGAACAAATGACATCCAGGTGCCTGTAGTGCTGGTGTTTTGCTGCTCTACACGTGCGGTTCCACGTGGGGGCTGGCTTAGGTACCCAGCCAACGCACTGCGTTCCTCTTCTATGATTCTTAAAATACACAACTCATCCTGTCACCAGTGGGAACTTTTAATGCAAATCGATTGTATATGCATTGAAAAAGAGCCGGGCTTGCAATGCGTACCTAACTTACGGCCTTGTTTTAGTCAAGCTAAGCATTCCCCAGCCGCTTAGCGCATGCCTGCCTCATTCCACGGCGCGCGCGAGTTTCAACCCTCCCACACAGAAGGAAAATCCTCCTTGCGCTGCCACCACCACGGATGGACAGGATCTGCAACCAGGTCCGTCTGTTTACTGTCACCACACACTGAATTTTATCAGACAGACAAGAAGCCACCACAACGTACGCAGATACGGTAACACGCCGATATTCTTGCTTCAAGCAACAACCTCCAAACTCCTCCTGGTGCTGCTGGCAGGCTGCTGACGAGGCCCTGAAAAGTCCACTACGGTCACACTGGGTTTGTAAGAACACCACAATACAAATGTTCAATATAGAATCATAGAATGCTTTGGGTTGGAAGGGACCCCTAGAGGTCACCTAGTCCAGCCCCCCTGCAGTCAGCAGGGACACCGCTAACCAGATCAGGTTGCTCAGAGCCCCAACCAACCTGGCCTTGAATGTTTCCAGGGATGGGGCCTCCACCACCTCTCTGGGCAACCACAGCTTCAGAAAACACATCTGACTCCTGAAGTGCTAAACAGCACCCGAAAAGTTAAAAGGCTCAGTGTTATGAACCGGAGGGGAAAAAAAAAAGCCTGCAAAATGATTCTGGCACCAATGAAATTGGCCAGACACCATCGGGAGAAAGGAGTGCAGATTCACATGGCTGATGGTGAAAAAATCTCCAAAACTGCTGTGGAAAGGGAAGGGAAAATGAAGAAGAAATGGAAACTCTGTGGCAACTGAAACCCCTGCATTTACGCAGCAGCCGATTTGGGCCGAGGTCACTAGGCCTCAGTAAGCAACAAAAGGTAGGGTGACGGCACTACGAAGGGAAAGCAGACCGAACAAGGCCAGGAATCGTTCAACTCCTGTGACGCCTTCTCTCTGGCCAGTGTACACTTAAGCTACCAAGTTGCGTACCACGGCGCGCGCGAGTTTCAACCCTCCCACACAGAAGGAAAATCCTCCTTGCGCTGCCACCACCACGGATGGACAGGATCTGCAACCAGGTCCGTCTGTTTACTGTCACCACACACTGAATTTTATCAGACAGACAAGAAGCCACCACAACGTACGCAGATACGGTAACACGCCGATATTCTTGCTTCAAGCAACAACCTCCAAACTCCTCCTGGTGCTGCTGGCAGGCTGCTGACGAGGCCCTGAAAAGTCCACTACGGTCACACTGGGTTTGTAAGAACACCACAATACAAATGTTCAATATAGAATCATAGAATGCTTTGGGTTGGAAGGGACCCCTAGAGGTCACCTAGTCCAGCCCCCCTGCAGTCAGCAGGGACACCGCTAACCAGATCAGGTTGCTCAGAGCCCCAACCAACCTGGCCTTGAATGTTTCCAGGGATGGGGCCTCCACCACCTCTCTGGGCAACCACAGCTTCAGAAAACACATCTGACTCCTGAAGTGCTAAACAGCACCCGAAAAGTTAAAAGGCTCAGTGTTATGAACCGGAGGGGAAAAAAAAAAGCCTGCAAAATGATTCTGGCACCAATGAAATTGGCCAGACACCATCGGGAGAAAGGAGTGCAGATTCACATGGCTGATGGTGAAAAAATCTCCAAAACTGCTGTGGAAAGGGAAGGGAAAATGAAGAAGAAATGGAAACTCTGTGGCAACTGAAACCCCTGCATTTACGCAGCAGCCGATTTGGGCCGAGGTCACTAGGCCTCAGTAAGCAACAAAAGGTAGGGTGACGGCACTACGAAGGGAAAGCAGACCGAACAAGGCCAGGAATCGTTCAACTCCTGTGACGCCTTCTCTCTGGCCAGTGTACACTTAAGCTACCAAGTTGCGTACGTATGTATTATAAAAACTACTGCCTCTTGCTTATCACTGCAAAAATTTCTGACTGCAAAGCAAAAATCAAAGTTTTTTGGTGGGTAGCAGGAAGCCCTCTCCATTTGAGACAGCTCCTTGTCAGTGTGGCAAAGCCGATCTTGGAAAATACCAGAGTTGGACTGAATGATGCATTCGGGTAAAAGGCCACCCTAAATAGCAGCATTTGTTTCACCTGCATATACCCAGGAGGTCCCGCTATTGAATTATTCCATTGTGACGTGGTCCTCCTCCCATGGCACCTGGCCGACACAGCCTCTGTTCAACAGCCGTGCTCCGCAGGCTGGAGACGTACGTGTGGGCGCTGGAAGGCATTTAACAGAGGCGCCTTCCTCCCTGCCCCGTGCACTGCCGTAAGGAAGGGGTTTGCTTTTCTCTAGAAGGGAGAAGAGCAGAGATGTCTGGGGTTGCTTTTGGCGGGGCTGTTTTTTTCCCAATAAGAAACTGTTCTCGCCTGGGATGAACCATGGTTTGGAGTGTCTCCACATCTACCTAATACTGTTACTATAGGTGCTTTAACAAAATAAAGCGTATCGCTACATGTGGGCACAGAAGAGAAGGGAAAGCCGAAAACCTGGAGGACCGATCATCTGTTATGTTTACATCATGAGATTAAATGTTTGTTTAACATTTATTTCCAAAAACTTCATTCAGTTTGTTTTTGGAAGATTCTGAGAGGGGCCAAAGCACTGAACAAGTACTCCCTGAAGTGCTCATCAGCTAACTCAATGGAAGGTAATGCAGAATGCATGGCAAGAAAACAGCAGGTGGCATTCAAGTAAAAAGAAACCAATGACATGGACATGATTTGCACATGTTTAACATTCTCACGCTTCCCAGCACCTCTGTAGAAACACGCCTGGCACACACATACTAGTTTTCCTTTAAGACAGGCTACACGTAGTGCTCTCAAGCAGTCACTGCACCGAAACTAAACGCTCATCAGGCTGTTAGGGAACACATACTGCTGAGTGGTCTCACGACGTTAGCGTAACAGCATTCCTCAGAACTATGGGAAGTCATCTCCAATATGCTTCATGCTTAAACATGAAGAATTTTTGTCGTCGATAGCTTATGAATTACCTGTAAAAGGTAGTACCTATCCAAAGGGAATTTTCACTGTGAAATATTGGTCAGATGCGTCAGGACCACAGATATGGTAGCTGAAGCCATCACTTTACACTTGCCATCTGACTACCAAATAGCGTGTGGCTGACAAGAAGTTTAGATTAATCCTGAGGCTAGAAATAAGTATTTTCCTTTTGGCTTTTAATTCCCCAAAGACTGCAAAACAGCAGATACAGATCATGACATCCTCAATACTTTAAGTTGGTCTGACAGTTGTAGCAGCCCAGATGGCTTTTGTCCATTGCCTGTGGCCCTGTCACTGGGCGCCACTGGGAAGACCCTGGCTCCATCCTCTTTGCACCCTCCCTTCAGGTGTTTATACACAGTGATGAGGCACCCCTCAGCCTCCAGGCTGAGCAGTGCCAGCTCGCTCAGCCTCTCCTCACAGGAGAGAGGCACCAGTCCCTCAGTCATCTTAGTGGCCCTTTGTTGGACTCTCTCCAGTATGTCCATGTCGCTCTTCTACTGGGCAGCCCAGAACTGGACAAGGTGAGGCTGACTGGCCTGTAGTTCCCTGGGTCCTCGTTCTTGCCCTTTTTGAAGACAGGAATGGCATTTGCCTTCCTCCAGTCCTCGGGCACCTCTCCCAGTCACCACAATCATTCAGATTTTATCAAGAGTGGCCTCATAAAGCCATTGGCCAGCTCCCTCCCTCCTCACTCATGGCTGCATCCCATCAGGGCCATGATCTATGTCCAGTTTGCTGAAGAATTCCCTGACCTGATCTTTGTCCATCAAGGGTACATCTTCCTTGCTCCAGCCTTTCCCCCTAGTCTCCGGGGTCTGGGATTCCTGAATGTTGGTCTTGCTAGTAACGACCAAGGCAAAGGCGGCATTCAGTACCTCAGCCTTCTACATTTACATGTCCTGCTGTCACTAGATCCTCTGCCCCTTTCAGCAATGGGCCCACATTTTCCCTACTCTTCCTTTTGTCACCCATGTACTTGTAAGTCCTTTCTGTTGCCTTTGACATCCCTCACCAGCTTCTGCCCCAGTTGGGCTTTGGCTTTCCTAACCGCATCCCCACATGCTTGGACAGTGTCTGTATTCCCCCCAGGTTACCTCTCCTTGCTTCCAC